CCAGCTGGAACTGCAGCAGAAACTGATTTGGGTATGAATTTGTGCGTGATCTCATTCTTCTGTGGGGGCAACTCCAATGTTGAGGCTGCTGGAAGCAGGGTGAAGGCTATATTAAATCTTTGACAAGTTACGATTCTGATATTGCACCAATAGACATTATTATGGTTTAGAGTTCTATGTTGGGCTATGTCCAGGGATTTAACTTGCCGTTGTATGATTTTATCTGTCCATTTCTTGAGAGACTAACTAACTACTAAGAGGCCAAATCGCAGGGAAAACCGCTTTCACTCTTTTCGTTCAGCTGTAGCACCCTTTCGGTGCCAAACTGCCATGCCACCAGAAGGAAGCACGAGGGCTGGGATACTGCCAGGTTGCTTAAGCTTAGACAGGGAAGTCGACAGGCAGGTTTCAGATTCGAACCACGGACATTCAGGTCAGTGAATTCGCGCTCTAACCACTGAGCCATCTCGGTTGTATCCTTTTAGGGGGACCATCTGTTCAGAGTGACCACTTCTGATCGGCCCTTTCAACTTGCCTTTCTGCGTTGTTCCTTTTCCAAAGACTATCAGCATAGATTCCCTAAAAGTGATCGCTTTCAACGTTCGATCTTTTAGGAGGGACCTGACCGTCAAAGGAGCACACAAGGAACCAATCACTGGTGGTGGTAACCACTGATTAGGAGTAGAATTGTAGTCGTTTGGTATCGCATAAATGGAAATTATGTGAAATTTCCAGTCGCTTGAGAACAGTGTGTTTTCACTTCCCAAATTCGCGTAAAAATACCTAAGAGCGTGAAGTTCTTATCCTGGTTTCCGTTTGGGTAGTGTTTTACCTCGTGCGCTTATTAGGGTGGCCTATTTTGGAAGGCAGATGTTGATAACTCAAAGCGTATCACCTCCAATCTCACGGGACAGGATCGAAGTCATCTTAATCCGAGGGCGGCCTTCTTTGATGGATGGGTCTACAACACGTTTACTGTCGTGGCAGCTAGCAGGCAGTTTTATTTATCCGAATGTCGTGCCCGTAACTCCAAGATGAGCGTTTTATTGCGTCACCAAGAAAGGCACTGTTCACATTCATCCTTGCTTACTACAGGGGATCTGTAGTTTGCGGTTCTTTAGCGTGTGTGTGTGTGTGTGTGTGTGTAAACGGTCTGTTTGCTGCTAACAGGCTTATGGTGTCATTAGAACCCCTATTTATAGTGCATCGTCATACTTCCTTTGGTAGTGACCAGTTCGTCTGGTTTGGGTCTTGAGAAAATTTTTGTGACTCTATCCCTATCTGTTGCCAAGTTGTCATAAATAGCCGATCAAATTCGTGATGTTTCGAGAATACGTAATCCGCTGCGCCTGACAATGAACTATGTTCACATTGCCTTCCTATTAAGGAATAGGGTTATCCAAGCATATCTGCTCATCCGTGATCACATCCTTGCTGGTTTAAGTTCTGTATACTTGCAAAAAAGTCCTATCCGTATTTTGCGTTATCAGCGTTAAGTTTGTCTCATGTTAATACCTGAAGAGTTTCCGGCATACGTCTTAGCACCTGGAACTATCTGAAATTCCAAATGTTTAGTTCGGTGACATTAAAGTTGTTGCTAACATTACCGCTAAGTAGGAACACCTGTGTGTGTGTGTGTGTGTGTGTGTGTGTGTGTGTGAACTATCTCGGTAGGGATGGTCTCCCTTTCGATAGACCACACGCTGTGCTGTTCGTAGGGACATCTCTTGGAGGTATTGGCGTGTAGCAATGCACACCACTATAAGCTGTGTGTTTTCAGCAATCTTGGTTTTCCCATTCAGTTGTTGCTAACAATACCGCTAAGTAGGAACGCCTGTGTGTGTGTGTGTGTGTGTGTGTGTGTGTGTGTGAACTATCCCGGTAGGGATGGTCTCCCTTTCGATAGACCACACGCTGTGCTGTTCGTAGGGACATCTCTTGAAGATATTGGCGTGTAGCAATGCACACCACTATAAGCTGTGTGTTTTCAGCAATCTTGGTTTTCCCATTCATGTGCTATTCAGTGAGATCCATAAACTCCTGTGTGAATGAAACAAATGAGTTTCACAGCTGAACTCGGTGCTTAGCTGACTTCCTACTATCAAGTTCGGCTTTTCATTAGCGTGTGTGTTACCCGGCTTCCCGTCCTAGTAACCTATCAAATAAAAGGTTAGACAGTTAAGCCTTTGCGATATGCTTAGACTCTGTATGATTTTGATTCAAACTTGAAGACATTGAAAGTCCTATTCGTAAAGGCTCCTTGGAATTGTTCACTTTAACGTGGCCAGTTGACTGGCCTTGTTACTATCCTGTGTGAAAAGGATGATGAAGCAGGGTTGTCAGAAATTATGACTGGTCAATTCTTATTCCACTTTGGCTGGATTTGTTTTTTCTTAAAAAGAGGAACCTCACATAATTTGTTTTGGTTCCAGTGATTAACGGCGCATGACCGGTCCAGACATTCTTTGGTTACTTGAAGTGGCCCGTCGGCCTCAGTCTTGATATTTCAGGGGGGTGAGATGGCCCAAGTGGGTAGAGCGAGAATTTGCCGACCGGAAGGTTCGTGGTTCGGACCCGACCTCCGCCTGTCGACTTCCCCTGTCTAGGCTTGGGCGACCTGGCAGTATGACA